GGGGGGTGACAGAATCTCACTAAGCTGTCATTCGCGCTAATAACGAAACTTTCCACTCTTCTTTCGTGGTCCGGATCGCAGCTGGATCTCTTGTAGTGGTAATACGAAAAACAGTTGGCACAACTAATTTTCACGGGAGATTCTCACGTGGACGTTAAACTGAAGAATTTGTTGGGACGACGAATTGCGAGCTTCGATAATTTTGGGGGATTGTGGGAAAAATGATTTTTAAGAAAAATTTTTATTTCAACGTACATTTGGTTTCGGTATCGCGATGTATTTACGTTGGTTCGCTGGATGAGAGTCCGAGCTTCCTGGGTGCGCATTGTTTTTGTAACTAACAGTAGGTTCGACCTAGAAACGCCAAGGCACATATGCGTATTGAACGTAAATGAGAAAATGTCGTAAACTACGAGAGCTACATAAATGTCATTCTTATTGAGGTACTTAATTGTCTGCTGCAATTCCCCCTTGACTCTAGAACATTTTAACTGGTTAATTACGAGCACTCTTGTTGGAGTCTTTTTTTTAATATTTATTTCTTTGTCGTCAAAACTTGTCATTCGTTGCGTCGCCACGTGTAGCCGATCTTTCGGATGAATATTTGGTAACTGAAGTAGTAAGAAAGGATGTCGCTTATGACTGCGCGATATGATAATAGCGGATAACCTGGAAAATTAGAAAAATTGCGAAACAACATCAAAGTCCCTAATGGCCGAACAACACGACACACGAACAAGAACAACAAAACAACACGATGTTGGATGCATAGTGGTTATACTCTAGTTGTGTATAGATCTAGTACTAGAATTAGAAATAGTTGTTGTATAGATTAGCCTGGTAGAAAAACACGTGCAGAGAGTCTCTGATTATTGTGAAGGCAACGCCTGTGGGAAATTGCATTCCGTTTGAGACTCTTTGCATTCCAGTGTGCATTGAATAGGAGCCGTTAATGAGGAGACGTCTAATGTTCAATTGTTTGCGTCTTCAGGTCCTGTCTATGAGCGAGGAGCTCAGGCGAGCACTCTATGCGAGTAGTGCTGTCTCCCTGGACTCGGACGTCATCGTTCCGGACTTGGTTGGAACAACGGAAATTCTTAGCGACGAGCACAGGGAGCACCTCTGTCGTCACCTGCCAGCCAGAGCCGAAGGATACCTGTGGACCCTGGTATTCAGTACGAGTCAACATGGGTTCAGTTTGAACAGCATGTATCGCAAGATGGCGAGACTCGAGAGCCCCATTTTGCTTGTGATCGAAGACACCGAAGGCAACGTGAGTGCATCCTTGCTAACTTTTACGTGCGCTTGGACTAGAGAACTGGATGATGGATTTATAATGTGTCAAAACGATTGGTTTCAGGTTTTTGGTGCTCTGACCTCCTGTTCGCTGCACGTCAGCGACCACTTCTACGGAACCGGGGAATCTCTTCTGTTCAGGTTCACACCAAGGTTCCAGGCGTTCAACTGGACGGGCGATAACCTCTACTTCATTAAAGGCAACAACGAGAGTTTGGCCATTGGCGCTGGAGAGTAAGTGTCAGAGTATGAACCAGTTAGTAAGACGTCTTAGTCCCTTGTGTCTGTGCTCATATTAAATTCTCACGTTGTCGCATGAGCATTGCAGTCACGTCCGAATTTCTCTTGACTTAAAGACCTCAGTGACCCCAATGACCCAAGTACACGTATCATATAAATTGACGTGGTTCTTCGCGTGGAACGTGGTCGTCTTATCTTTTTTTTTTTTTTTTTTTTTTTTTT